CTTTTGATTTGGTGTTGAGCCTGAAGAAACGCTTCTGCATTTAAAGCTGCTGGCTCGTGCCAGACTTGGTCAACCACTGCGTCTGACTCTGGTCACTGTGTAACGTGGAATGGTTTCTGAGAAGGTGGGGATGACAGATGACTCGGTGTCTCTTAAATCAGAGCAGCAGTGTGTCTCTCTCATGATCCACAGTGTTAGAACCCCCTTTGTATCCCAGGAATGACAGAAGACTTTCAAGTTTTCCCACTCAGAAGTGTGTCATGCACCTCCACCTGTATGCCCCGTGATCCCACAGTTGTGCTGGTTCTGGCAGAAACAGAGGAACTGGGTCTGATCCACATGAAGTTTCTTAAGCAGATTTTGCCCTCCTGGGGCCTGGCAGGACAGCTCTCCAGGTCTCCTGTCACGCCTGCTTCCATTGTTGTCAGGTGGAGACTTTCTTCAGAGTCGCTTTGGCTGCTCAGTGTTGTGCTGCCTGGCACAGCGAAGATCGTTCACAGCGTGCACATCCGCATTAAGCCTCTTGCCTTCTCTTTCCTTTCTCCACAGAGGCGGACTTCAAGCCATGGACATGCCAGAAAAAGAGCCAAGGTATAACTTCTCCCGATGTCCCGTTTTTCTTTTGGCCATTCTGAGCTGAACCGAAAACCTTAGAAGGGTGCTCTCAAGCCTTTCCTGTCTCCAGAAGCAGCACGTGAGGGTTCAGGCCAGTCACTTTCCATGCACTGGAGCCTGAGTGCTCCTTTTTAACACACACGTGCCCATGGAGGAGCTGTCTCCTGCTGCTGCTGCCCCAGTCCCCTCCCCAGAGCCCAAAACACCAGAAATTGAGTTCAGAGGTGTCACTGGAGGAACAGGGCAGTGCACTGGTCTGTTACACCCTCCAGTTAAAAAACAAAGTTAAGTATAACTGTCTGGATTCACATAAGGCCCCTTTTCTTCAGGGAATGCTGCGTTTGCTCCCGTAACGATGGCACGTGCGTGTTAGTGGATCCAAGACTTTTGCTAATAATGAGCTCCAGGACACCACAGTTCTAGAACATTGTTTGTAGGTAAAATCTCAGAGTAAAAATGCAGCCATTGTGTGATTTTTATTTTATTTTTTTTTTAGCCTTAGCAGTTTATCAAAAGTGGCCATAAATTTTCCAGGTTTGGCAGTTATAGAAGCATACCATAATGGAGGAGTCCAGCTAGGATTCATTTAGTCCCGTCTCCTACTCCAGACAGGGTCAGCTGGTGACATCTGACTGGGCTGCTCAGGGCTTGATTTTAAAACTGTGATTGGAGGGCAAAGGTGTCTTCCCCCTGTCTTTTTTTTTTTTTTTCACTCTTTCACAAAAGTCCAAACCCAAATGAAGACAGGTTCTACCCTGGGGCATGGGAGAGAGGGGAGATAAGTTAAATTCATAACAGAGGTTCTGGCTGGGTTTGTTTTTGATGAAAGTAATGTGTAAAAGAGATGTGCTGCTTATGACCAACAGTGTGTTCAGAAAAAATATTCTAATGGTTCTGTTTGGTCTTAAAAGCCAGGACTCTGTGCCATACCTGAACAGGCTGTATGTGCCCTGTCCATACCGAGGGCAGAATGTGTCTGTGCACCTCAGGCCTTTCTCCATATTGTTGATCCTTCCCGGGAGCCTCATGTGACTGGTTGATAATTTTTTTCCTATTTGTCACCCAAGTGAGTCAACTTGCCAAGAGTCCTGAAAGTGCAAGTTTTATTTTAAGCATTTTCTCTAAGCACTACTACATTACCCAAAATAACCAAAGTCATCAGTTCAGACAGGCGAGGTGTAAGTGGGATGACAGCCTTTTAAATAAGAGCAGTAACAATCTTCACATCTTAAAAACCAGTAAAATTGTTGGTTTCAGTTGTATGCTTTGTTAATGGTTTTAATTCTTGCCAGGTGAGGAGGGGAGAGGCTGGAATTGCTCTGGCTGAAGAGGTCAAAGTGTACATTAATTAAGGCAATGAACTTTCTCACCTAAAATTTGGTTGGTTCAAATCCTGATCAAAGACTGAAGAAAAATAATACCTGATCTGCTCTAGGACCCCAAGCCTTTGTGTATTTCTGTTTGCTGCAAGAAGCTGGTTTGGTAGTCCTCCTTTTTAGCAGTTTAATTAATAATAACTGGATGAGTGGCTTGGTAATGCAGCAGCATGAACTTAAGTATGTGCGTTTTGGCTTCTTTGTCTTAACTATGCTCTTTCTTTTCCTTCTCCAGTCTAATTCAAAGCTTAAACTGGTCAGGAGTTTGGCTGTATGTGAAGAATCATCGAGCCCCTTTGTAGATGGGCTGCTGGAGTCCCAGGTAGGCCTAGAATGAGACAAACTGTGGAGTGTGGAAGTCCCGAAAATCCACATCTTGCTAAAAATGATGTCCTGTCCTGGGCATGTGCCTCTGAGAGCCAAGAATGTCCCACAAGAGGCTGGTTTTGAAGAAAGCGATCACGCCTGTGAGCGCTGCCGGCATGTGTACAGTCACAGCGCTTCTGTTACGAGGAATCAGTGCATCGACTCACTGGGCACCCACGACTCCGCGGGCGTATGCCCCCAGAAATGGAATGGCACTTCCTCTTCACAAAACCCCTGGGGTTTTGGCCGTGGGAAGGAGGTTTTCATGCAAGCCCTTTCCTTGCAGCTCAGGCTGCAGTGCCTGAAAGCAGCCAGCTCACAGAGAAGTGATCCGCAGTGCTCTGCAGAGATGGTCTCCACCTGTGGTCACTGTGGGCAGTGACAGAGGAGCTCAAGCTCAAAGGTGGGCAGCAGTCAGGGAGGGGCTGAGAACCTCTCTGCCCTGGCACGAGCAGATGGATTGAGCTTCCTCTGCCCACACAAGCGTTAGAAGCACAGGGTGGTGCAGTGTGTGGAGATCTCAGCTGGCTCGCGGTAGATCAGGTCGTGGCCGTAGCTGCAGCCCATCTTTGTTGAGCTGACCTGGTCCCGCACCGTGCGGAGTCACAGCGTAGGTCTGTGCTGGTAGGTCAGAGACCTCTGCACTGCTCCCTATTGGCAAGGACAAACCTGGCCCGTGCCAGGGCTGAGCAGTGAGTGGGGTACTTGGCCTCTAAGCCTTTCTTCTGAAATGTCTCAGATCCACGACCTGAACCCCGTGCCTGTCCGCGATGCCTTTCTCAGCTGCCAACATCTCCAGCCATGGCAGTGATTCCAGGGAGTGTCCAAGTGACTCAGACCAGCCTGATTTGTTTTGTTCCAGGACATCATTCAGTTGCACATTAGCTGCCCCTCTGACAAGGAAGAGGAAAAGTCCATGAAAGATGGGCCTGAGAAAGAAGAAAAAGACAAGAATAAAGAGAAGGCACCGAGGAAAATGCTGTCTCGAGGTCAGGTGCTCGTTTGAACGGGACGGGGCCTGTCCTACCCATTTGGACAGTTCTGCTCACCCGTGGTGCGGTTGTTGGGAGCAGAGCACTTATCTCTGCTGATGACCATGCAGGAATGTATAGTTTTTTGTAATGTCCTTTCTGGAGCAAAGCACGGGGAGAGAGGGGGAGGGTTTCTCTAGACTGGCACGTGCCCCAACAGACTTGCAGGCGTCCCGCATGGTTTGTAGTGGTCTGGTGGCTTTTTAAATGTGCAGATGCAAACCTAGGAAGACCCATCCTACAGACTTTTGCTTTCAGTTTAATATTTGATTTTATAAAACCTGCCACAGGTGGCAAGATGTGAGGTTGTAGGGAGGTGAGCTAAATTTCTGCTGTATGATCCTGCGTGTGTGATTTTGGGGCATAGAAGTTGCTAAAAGATACACATTTAATCTGGTGAGCAAATTTGACCTGAAATCCTTGTACAGACAGCGACTCGACACTGGTACGGATTCAATTTCACTTACTGTTTTTTCTGTGATTACTTTTAAATTAAAAAGAGTGTGGGGAGAGGGGAAGAACAGGGCCAGTGGGGCTTTCCACTTCAGTAGCTTGCGGGACCAAAGGTGCAGGAGTTGCTTGTACAAAAGTGTTCTGTAGGAGACTTGCAGGGGCCTCGTGGAGCACACTTAGAATCATAGAATCATAGAATGGTCAGGGCTGGAAGGGACCTTCAAAGGCCATCTAGTCCAACCCCCCTGCAAGGAACAGGGATATCTCCAACTAGATCAGGTTGCTCAGGGCCTCATCCACAGCCACTTGGGGTACTCCACGCTGTTACAAGTGGTTGGTTTTAGGGGCCAGGCTTCCTTCTAAGAACCGACCTGATTTCCCTCTCTCTGACGTCCTCCCAGCGGGGCCTTGTGCTCGTAGTGCCGTGTGTGTAGCGTCCGACCCTCCTGCTGCCCACGGGGAGAGGGGGTACAGCCCCTGTTTTACAGACTGAGAAACTTGACCTAAAGGTTCAGAGCCTGTGCTAGAAACTGGACTTGAGCCCGGGTCATACGAGTCCCAGGCTGTGCAGTTCTGTAACAAGGTGGGCTTTTCTTCCTCCCTTCCCGGCGTGAATAGTCGGTGCTGAGAATGAGGCTGAACTTTCTCTGGCAGCGATGCGCGGGCATCGTCCTCGTGCGCGTAGTGGGACACACCCCTCTTCCCTTCAGTGTATGCTGTTGCAGTGTTTTGTTAACTTGTTTTGTTGCTGCTGTTGTTTCAGATTCCAGCCAGGAATATACAGACTCTACTGGAATAGATTTGCATGAATTTTTAGTAAATACACTGAAAAAAAACCCACGGTAGGTCCCTAGTCAGTGAAACAACGTGCTGATGGAGTGGAGGGAGGGAGTGCCTGGCAACCGGTGCTTCTTCGGTTCGCTCTTAAACCCATGGTGTTTGTGTGCATGTGTGTATATGTACGTGTGTATTCATGTATCTTGGGAGGAGGGGGGACTACAGAAAGTATCTGAAAGTGCATTTTACTTTTTGGAATTCAGAGAGCATTAGCAGAGCTGGGGCTGTGTAGAAACAAAAAGCACAACTGTAATTTTATATGCTGCAGTCAATCAAAACATGTAATTGTGTATTACAGAGAGAGAGAAAGAGGAAAAATAATTTGTTTGAATGCAAGCAGGAAGAAATCTTGATTGCTTTAAAACCTTTTCTATAAATGATTGTCAAATACCAACCTCTAAAGGAACTGCTGCTGTCAGTAATAAATGTAATCAAGCCAAGTGCTGGCATAGCTGGAGTCTCTACCAGTGGAGCTTCCAGCAGAGCAGAGACTCCATGTTACCAAAAGCCAAGCATTGTTGGCAAAAGAACAACTTTAAACTGAAAAAAATCTGACAATTAATTTACTATATATGAAAAAAATACTGAGTTTTTTTAGGTCATTCCTGTGGAGGATGTGTGAAGCCTGGTTAATAGTGTTGCTTGCTCCAGATATTTCTGACTTTTCTCTGTCGTGGGGAGGGGGTTACCGAGCAGAGAATGCTGCTTCACTGTCTCTAAAGGTGGCCGTTTTCTTTTCTTGGCAGGGATAGAATGATGCTACTCAAGTTAGAACAGGAGATTCTGGAATTTATTAGTGATAACAAGTAAGTGATCATCAAGTTTGTGTCAAGCAAAAGAGGTTTGTAACTTACAGTTCGGGCTCTTGGGCACTCGGGGGAGGAGGACACGCTGGGTAGGAGGCCTCTTCTCCTGTACATGCTCCCCTTCCTCGTGTCCGAGTGCCAGGTTTGAGTGTCACATTGGTTGGGTATCAATTGCTTTAACACCATATCTGCTGTGAAGGGGATTAGTGCCATTGTGCTCTCTTCCTGGCGTAAATTGGGGATGAAGAAACCAGGGGCAGGATTCACATCCGAGAACATGAGATAGAATAAGTGTCTGCAGCAGAGTTTGCAAACTTCTTTATCCAATAGGATCGGAGAAGTCACGGTATAAGTATCAGTTCTGGCTCCTGTTCCTGCTTAGGAACAAATGTGCATTTCTGCACAGGCTGGTTGTGTTTCGGGAAGGACCTGTTCAGCTTCAGCCTTGGGATCAGCCCAGCTCTGTCTGGCGGAGCAGGGTGAGCCCGAGCTCGCGCTCCGTGTCAGAAGCAGCACTTGAGTCACGACTAACGGCTTGGGACGGTGGCGTGGTCCGATCTGGTTAACGCAGCTCTGGCCTTGAGCTCTCTTTTGGTGTCAGATTAACATTGTCTGTTTCAAGGTCTTCTAAATTCTAATGCTTTCTCCCCTCTTCTCAGCAATCAGTTTAAGAAGTTCCCTCAGATGACCTCGTACCATAGGATGCTGCTGCACCGGGTAGCTGCCTACTTTGGCATGGACCATAACGTTGACCAAACTGGGAAGGCGGTCATTATCAACAAGACCAGTAACACACGAATGTAAGGAGGAGGGAGGGAGGGAGGAAGACTGGGTTGGCATCTCCTTCCCTTCCCTGCATGGTGCTATGTGACCCCCAGACACAGAGCCCTGGCGTGGTTGAGAGCAGGATGGAATCCACATTTTTTTGCCTCCATAAGAAGGGCAGATCCCCTCTCTAGAAGAGAAGAATCCTTCACTTCCAGTCCTAAGTGTATATATTTGCAAGCCTTTCCTAGCTTTCTTTAGTTCTCAGAGAAGGGGCAGGAGCTCTTGTTGCCATCGTACAGAGGAGAGATTTAACACAACAAACATCTTTGCACACCCTCTCACTCCTGCAAAGCACTGGTTTTATGAAGACAGTTCAATGCCCGTTTTTGCTCTTCTAACAAGGGCTGATTCTTCCTGCAGCCCTGAGCAGAGGTTTTCTGAGCACATCAAAGATGAGAAGAATGCAGAATTCCCGCAGAGGTTTATCCTAAAACGAGATGATACCAGCATGGACCGAGATGATAATCAGGTAAGGGGTGGCAATGGGGTACCTGCATACTTTGAGAAAGTCAAGTGTGACTTTTCTAAGATGAGAACAATGCTAAATTTCTCTTGGGTTTCCTGCAGTAACCTTTAATAGAAGCTTCCATGCCGCTCGAGCAGCAGCATCTAGATATGTCGTGAAAACTTTACAAAATACTGCGGAAGTGCATGAAGAATTTGTGTGGGTTCTACGGGGGGTACTTTTCTGTACCCTGAATATTGGCTGGTGGCTGGGCCAGGCTTTAGGGTGAAGCTATTTGCTAAGGTTTCCTTGTAAATGCCCCAGAGCTGAGTGTTGCCAAGCATCTCTCCCAGCCCTCCCTGGCGCTTGCAGCGAGTCAAGCTGGGAAGTCATCAGAACCTCGCAGTGCTGCTGGAGGGAGACCGTCGGCAAAATGAAACGCTTTGAGCTCAGTAGCGTTGCCTGTCGTCGGAGCTAAAAACTCTCCTGCCTCTCTGGTTGCCTTCAGGCTGTCACAGGTGGCACCGCACCCGGAACAGAGCGCTAGCTTGTTCATCTGTGGCTGGTTTCCCAGCCTGTGTCAGAATCTTGAATGTCAGAAACGGGGGCAAGAGACAGGAGACCTCTTCACCAGAGGTCTCATGCTCTTTGCTTTTGTAACTCCCTTCTTTACATCACCCCAGCATACCACTATCCCTTGCTTTGGGCCGTGTTTCTGAACTTCAGTCATCAGGATGGGGAGCTGGTCATTGCAATCAGTATCAGATTCTGGTTTCCCCATGGTGATGGGGTGATGCAGCTACCCACAAAGCACAGAATCCATGGCTGAGCAGGAGTTTGCTGTGTTGACGTATGCTCTAAAGAATGGCCTTTAGCTTTTGACCCCTGGGAACAGACTGTCTTTGAGAAGCACGTGGTGATATTCCTGATCTGTCCTTTCCAAATCAGGCAGAGTGGTTTTGCTTGATCCAGGAGGTGGAGTACCCTAAGACCTTGTTCATCTGTAGACATAGGTGTCCAGAACGTAGGTTCAAGGGCAGAGACTGTGTCATTGCATCCAGGCATCATGCACACACTCCGTAGTCCACATCCACTTACACTGCTACGTAAAAATATCAGCAGCTGACTCAGCCCCCTGCTGCCATTGGCAACTGCTGACCTGCTGAGATGTGTTTGTCCCTTCAGATCAGACTCCCCTTGCAGGATGGGAGAAGGAGCAAATCTATAGAAGAGCGAGAGGAAGAGTATCAGCGAGTCAGGGAGCGGATATTTGCACGGGAGGTAAGCTTGGATGACTCACTTGCCTGGAACTTTGTGGCAGAAGGTGTCCTTGAGTACACTTAAGAGGTCAGATCTTATCATTGCCTTTTCTACAAATTTCCCAGTGTTCTTGTTACCTACCATTGAATTCCAGTTCCTACCAAAGATGTTTAAGACATTGAGATAGAGAAGCCACACTCCCGCTCCCCAGTCTCCTCCTTCCCGAAATTGCCTGTTTCAGGGGGCAGGAGACAGCGGGCACTGACAGAGGAGGCAGTTTTGCTCCTCGCTGCCCAGCAAGAGTATCAGCTTATGCAGTGGTGTTTCTGGGGTGACCGCAAATCAGTTGATGAACCTGAAAGGAGCAGCAGCCGTCTCCTCCAGCTTCTCTCCAGTGCTGCAGCTTTGACCTCCTGACCAAGCAGTGCTGGCCTTTGAGTATCAGGCAGGGCTCTGTTCCTTTACAGGATAATCTGGGCAGTATGTTTATGGGCTTTCTTATGAAGTGTCCAGCTTGATTATTGCTTCCTTGGGATCTCTGCTCCCTACGTGGAACTCCTCTAAGACAGAGCTGTGTTTCTTGCACACATCTGGCTCAGAGAGGCTTCTGTGCTCTACTGTGTTGAGGACTGTCTACCAGCTGGAGGCAGCTCTCCATCCTGTGCCAAGTGGCAAATGATGGAATCAGGGACGATTCCAAGTGCCCATCTGCTGTGGATCATGTTCAAAGTCCAGCTCCTTGCCTGCTGCTTTTGAGCATCTCGGGGATGACGCCTTTCGTTTGGGAAACGGGAATTGCTGTGTGCCTGCCCAAGGAGGATGTTAAGGCAATCACTGTGCTGAGTCCCGGGTCAAGTCACCAGGCTTCAGCTGATGACCCTTCAGCCAGTTGTGATCATGGAGTTGTCTCACATGCACAGGCCCGAAGCCGTTCAGACATGTTGGCAAGCAGCTCTGCCCTAGTCCTGCCTACAGCAGGTGCTGTCCGTGCTGGCATAGCACTGGGTGGGCACGTGTTTACCCTTGCTCTGTGCTCACGGGCTACGGCAGCACTTTGCATCTGACTTGCAGAGGCAGAGGTGACTATCGCAGGGTGAGCTGGGCTGGCTTTGAGCCCTCTGTCCTGTTTTCATGGCTCTGACAATTGTGCCTGCATTTAGCAAATAAAGACCCGTGTGTGTCTGTCCTTGATCGCTCTGTTGACAAAGCTGCCTTGGAGCAATGAGGTAGGGAATTGAGGACTCAGATTTGCAAACTCCTGAGGCATCTCAGGGTCACAGGTATCAGGAAGGGTTCCTGATGGGCCTGGATAGAGAGCCAAATGGGACTGGCGTGCAGGAGGCTCAGCAGGACTCCTGAGTGACCATGTAACTGGGGCACAACGTGAGCTGTGTCTAAGCCCTGTGCTTTGCTCCTTTTTGCTTTGAGATTGCCTGGGTTTCTTGCTTTCAAAGTTATTAAGTCTCCCTTTTCTTTCTTTCCCATCTCCATGTCTTTTCCGTGCTTCCAGACTGGCCAGAATGGATATCTCGCCGACAGCAGGTTAGTACTGTTTAGCAGATGCTATTTGTATCTCTGGCTTTCTCTACGGAGGGCTGCCTGACTCGGTAATGATGCTTTTTTCTGATGTTAACCGACAGAATCTCCAAAGAAGGCTTTTCTTCTAGTTCTCACAAACGGAGGCAGATTTTTAGGTATCTCTGTGTGACTTTTGTACATTGTGCTGCTGAGCAAGTTTGCCCCATGCATGGCTGCTTGTGAAGTTATTGAAGTTGTATTTTTTGCAGCATCAATTTCTGAGTCCTTTTTTGCTAATCCATCAATTTAAGTGGAGGGGTGAAAGGTGGGAATATTTGGCAGGGAGGAATGGGAAAGCTAGAGCATTCCAGCAGTTTTCAAACCATTCTGCCTCTTTTTTCCAAAAGGATAGAAAAGCCCCTGCCCTTACAGTGACAGGATCAGCATCCAGATAAGGTGGGGTTGTCCGTAATCCCTGATTATGAAGACTGAATTACTTAATGGTGGCAATGAAGTGTCTCAGGCTTCCGTTTCAACCAGAGTGTGCTGCAGGGGGCACTTGGAACATGTTTGAGCAGCATTTTCTTGCTAAGTAGTTTTCTTGTGGATGAAAAGGCTGGAAAGATGGCGTTAGCCTGACGAATCCCCTTGCACAGACACCTGCTGCAGGAGGCTGCTGAAGGTATGAGGATAAAGAACAGGAGAGTGAAGAGACCCTCATGCCTGCTGTCCTCTTATTTAATAGCCAAAGCTCTAGAAATGAAGCATCTCTGTGTATGACCAGGACAGGAGGATCTTGGCAAGAGTAGGAACAACTTTGCCTCTCTCCTCAGTCCGTCACATGGCTCAGGCTCTCCTTGGAGAGACGCTGTCAAAGTCAAGTGTCCTCAGCACAGTTACAGGGACGGTGTCTTGGAGTCTGCGTGTGGCAGTGGTGTTTAAAGCAGGGGGTATAGTTTCCAAATCAGCCGTGGGGCTGTAGCGAAACTCACCCAGCGAGTGGCAGAAGAAACGTTGCTGATGTGATCGCAGCTCAGGAGCTGAGCTGCGGCCAGGGCTGCACTAGGAGCTTTTCTGGCTGTTGTGCCCTAAAGAGCTTGGTTAACCTGCTGACTTTGTTTTGTGCTTCTCAATAGTGGGGAGAGGGAGGATATGTGGGTCTTGGGACCGTTCTGAGCTCTGGACAGAGACAGACAAGCTCTTGAGGAGATTGCAGTTCCTTCAGTGGTGGTGGTGGAGATGATGTCTGTGTGAACTTGAGTCTGACTGCCCACAAAGCCCAGCATTCAGAGTTTGTTCCATTCTCTTGGAAGTCCTGTATTAATGCTGCCGAAGCACAGATCTGATTGCAGAGAGCTCTCTGCTGGTGGACACGCTTGGAAACGGGCTGTAGTAGGGCTTATGGAGAGAAAGGTATGGCTGAAGCTGCGAGGGCGTTGCTCTCGGAGAGCACGGGTGTGATAGTGTGCCTGGAGCTTGGAGAGCATTTGTAGCAAAATCAGAACTGTTGTGCTGCTGGGTTAGTGGTGATCAGCTTGGGAGAGGTCTGGATTCTCAGGGAACCAGCGTTTGTGGCTGAGTCAGAACAGACGCCATGACATGCCCCTTCCCCACACACCGACGCTGCCCCCCCTCTCCGAACATCCCCGGGAGCAGCCGTCAGAGTTCAGGTTGGAGAGAGCCCAAGAGCTTGACAGTGGTTCTTGTCAAGTCAGCTGTAATTTGGGGTTCGAGGCTGCATAGTGCAATTCCTTCACCTCTTTAGGGATATAACCATTGTGCTGGCTTTCCAAGAGATGTATTTTCTTTGGCTCTTACATGCTCCCAGCCGCCCAGGGCATCACCTCAGAAGCTTCTTCCAAGCCCATCTTTTCCCCTCCACAGCTGCATGGAGGGGCTGCCGGGCTCAGCGTACAGGGTTATATGAGCATCTCTTTCAGTGTTGTCTTCCTCACTGTCCCTCCCCAGTGAAGGCCCAGGAACCTGTGACTGTACTTACAGTCCTTAGCTGGGCTCATGAACCAGGTTCACTGCTTGGGATGTTTTGCTCATACTCTATAAAGTCCTGCTGTGGCCACGCCTGGCCTGGGGCTAAGGGTGGGTGATCAGTGGGAGCACAGCCCTGAGTGTAGTCATATCCCAGCATGTGGCTGTTCCAGCTGGGCAGAAAGCCTTACCAGGGCTGGTATGGACAGCAGTCTTGCAAGATCTCGGTCAGCCTTGTCTCAAGGCCTCTGTTAAAAGCTCCCTGTTTTGAGACAAGGAGAGCTTTAGCAAGGGATCATGCTCTGACCCTGCTGGCATCTCTTCCAGGCTGGGATCTGGCTAGGGAAAAGGGCCAGGAGCCAGCTCTCAACGTGTGCCCAGGAAGATCAGCAGTGTCTGGGTCTGCACAGTGCATGCCCAAGCCAGCTGTGACCCAGGGTGTGTGCTGCCAGATCCCCGTACAACGTGCCAACGTGCTGTGTCACGGAGCCAGCTGCCGACTGGGCTTACCACCCTGCTGTGGTCCCGGTGTGGTGGTACTGATGCAGCACCTGCAGGTCCTACTGCTGCCCCTTCTCATTGGAGGTGGGGTCTAACTGCTTCGGTCTCTGCAGGGGCAACCGGGACAGTTTGAACCGGGCCTCGGGCAGTCGCCAGAGCAGCACAGAGAGCGAGATAAAGTCGCTGGAGCCTCGACCGTGGAGCAGCACAGACTCAGACGGCTCCATCCGCAGCCTGCGGCCACCTGTTACCAAAGCCAGCAGCTTCAGTGGCATCTCCATCCTGACACGGGGGGACAGCATCGGGAGCAGCAAAGGCAGCGCTGCCAGCAGAACGTCCCGGACAGGTACTGTACTGTTTCCCACACACACCTCCTGGCAAAGGGCATCTAGCAGACACAGTCTTCACGCTGGGGAACTGGGGCTCATAGTGCTCTGGTCAGTGGCTCTGATTAAAATGGGACATGGTCGGAATCATCTGAATGTGTTCAGTACCTGGGCTGGGATATCTCAGTTGGTTCATCATCTGCTTCGTCAATACTCACCACCAGGTCTTCCTTCCTTTAGCAGACTTATCTAAGACAAAGGACATTGTTTAGTTTTATACCCTGGAAGCCAAGCTACCAATTTTCTGTTGTTTTCTCTCCCTCGCTGTGCTGCAAGTTGCGTTGCCATTCTTTTCTGCTCTCCAGAATCCCTCAAGGCCCTAAGGAGACTTAGGGTGAACCATCTGGCACTTTTCCTAACTTTCAACAAAGGAGGTCCAGAGAAGAGTGTCACCAATTAGTCTGTCTCATCAGACACACAGTCTATCTCATCAGACAAAGACTGTGTGAATTGGTATCTGTCTATGGTGTTCACTCAAAATGATTCACTATACTCCTGAGAGCAAACCTGACAGCAGGGAGCTGGGCCTGCAGCTCTTCAAGAGGTGTTGAATACAGTTCAAGGTTTCAGGAGCACCAGAGAGAATTAGGATCACAGGTCTCTGCAAGCTTCAGATCAGTTCGTCCTTTTCCACCTAGGTAAGACAGATGGTGGCCCGTGCATGGAGAGTGGTGCTGTGGGACATCACTGGTAGTCTGTTACTGACAACAGCCTCCTGAGGAGATGTGTGCTGCACTTGGCAGGGCACCAGCCCTCCGATCGGTGGGAGCAGAGTCCTTTATTTTCAACTGACCGCTCGTGAGCGGCGTTTGTCAAAGAGGCAGCACAGGCCTTCGCTCTCATTTCAATGGTCTGGCGATAACCAAGGAGCCATGTGGTAGCTGGTTACAGTTGCTGGGCAATATCAATGAGCAAAATCCAGTGCTGTCTCACTGTCTAGCTTCCTCTGTTCTCACTGGTAGGCAGCAGGTCCCCAAATGCTTGAGACTGTCATTTTACTGGGGAGGGGAGGCAGATTCATGCTTGTGGGTGATTAGACTGCTCCACAAGAATCCTTGCAAATAAAAGGGATGGATCTAAAAGGCAGCCAGACTGTTGTTCTAGCACCCAGGCTGACTTTGAAAACCACACGTTCATCTTGCAGTTTGGAGGTCTCTACATCATCTCTTGAGACCCTGTTTCCATTGTGCTTAGGGCTGCACTTACTTTGGTTATTGCAACCACCTCTGTGACTGATGCATCAACTGATGGGAGCAGTTATTTGAAGATCTGTCCCAGCCATGTGCAAAGCAGAGCAAGAGAGCATCTGCTTTTTTGCTTTTTCTGTATTTTTCTTCCAAGTTTTGCTTGGGAACAGAAGCCAATTGCTCTCCAGGCTTTATATAACGGCAAGTGATTAGAAATGTCTTGGGCGGGGTGGGGGAGAAAGTAAAGGAATTTTTACTTGGGGAGGTGGGGAAAATAAACCTGCCATCCCTCCATATCCTCCTGTTTACTCTGTGGAGGAGGAAATGCTTAGGACTCTGGGGCTCTTTTCCTATCTCAGCATTCAGCCTCTGGGCAACCGTCAGCAAAATATTTCCTTCTTTCTACCTGATGATGTGGCTGATGATACAGACCTCCTTAGCAGATGCCTGAAGATTAGCTGTTGAAACGCAGTAGAGCAGAGGCAGAATTAGTTAAATAGCAGCTACTGAGCATCAAGCAGTAGTTTCATAGCCCTTTTATTTCTGGAAGTAAGACTGAAATACTGAGGAGAGCACTTCCCAGCTGAGTGCCCTGCAGCACGTATCGCACTCCTTCCCAGCAGTTTTTCCTAGCATGGGAAGGAATTGCTTTCAGCCGGCAACCCCCTCACCTTGTACTCAAAAGATGTGCATGTGTTGGGTCTGTGTGGCCATAAAACAGGATTCCCTCACTCCTTTCTCTGTTCTGAGCAAGCACTTGAACAGACCATGGCAGCGTGTTAGTGTCCAAGCAGGGGCCTGGCCTGGCTGCAGAACGGGACTGGGACTGGGAACGTCTCTCCAGCATCTTTCCACAGTTTACGGTGCTGAGCTAACATGGGTGTATCTGGCAGCTCCCTCTTTTTGTAATTCTGCCTCATGGTGGGGCGGAGAGCCCTCCACCAGGCAGATGCTGCTGTTCACAGCAGGTTCCTGTCCCAGCAGAAGGCCCGTGGTGTTTATAGAAGGCGCTGACTTGTGCCTGGAGCTTTCCAGACAACACAGAGGGCACATCCCTCCAAAGCAACCACAAAACGGCAGCTACCTGAGAGCTGTGGGTGGGGACCAACGTGTAGGCTGTCCACTTGGACCGAGGGTGCTAGGCTGGGATCAGGGAAGAGAGCACACCCGGGGAGTAACAGCTGTACAGCTCATGGCCATAGTCTGGAGCAAGAATCGCATCCTAGTCTGCCCTGTGTGGAGCGAGGCGTGCACGGATCAGGGGGAGGAACGAAGATGCTGTGACCAGCTGTGGAGGGTCTGTGTGTGGACATAGACATGGAGAGGAGAGAGGTACAATCACTTGAGAGTGTCAACACCTTGGTTTGCTGTGAAGCAGCGGCAGACTGATGACTTGGCCTGCAGCCTGCTCCCTCTGTCCCCTGTGCAAGCTGCCATGTGGACATCAGGGAATGTAGTCTGGCTGCAGCACAGGAGGCAGTGACAGGGTCTGGCCCCTACCCTCCCCATCAACAAATCGATGTTTTCCTCTCCCAGGTACCAACCCTGCCACACCTTTCTCTGTTCAAGGTTTGGTACTAGGTGCCCCTGAAGCATGCAGCCAACCCCCTTCCTCACAGCCCAGCCGTGGCCTCTTGCCCTGCACAGCCCAGCAGCCTCAACTGCAGCCACCCCAGCAGCCACCACCACCACCCCAAGGACTTCCACCCGCAGCCCAGCAGCAGCCGGCCATGAGTAACCACATGATATCCCAGGTGAGTCGCTGCGCTGTACCCGGGGCTCAGCGAGCTCCTTGGCACGCAGGTGGGAGGCAGAGGCAGAGCCAGCCTGTACCCCGGGTGCTCCGGACTCAACAGTGACCCAGTGGGGTTTGGGTGGTGTCACACTCGCGTTGTGTTAAGGAGTGATGGTCCCTTTGTGCTATTGGCAGAGGGCGGGAGAAGGTGGGGGGCATTGCTGTGCCTGAACACGATGCTGTGTGACATCTGAACTTGCAAGCCTCTTCTGTACCTGCCGGGGCAGCAGCCCTCCTGGCAAGGGATCTGCAGCCCTTTGCTGAGTGGCAGGTTTGTGTTCTGGAACCAGTTGCCCTCCTGGTGAGGGACCATCACAAACAGTAGTTGAGTTTGAGCACCCCCGTGCTGAAATCCCATGGGTGGTCACCTCATGTCCTGGGATCTGTGTATTGTCCAGACCCTCCCTGAGTTAACCCCAAGAGGTGTTCCACAGCCTTCAGTGTTATTTCTGAGGATGGAACCCTCAGGAGAGCACTCGTGACTGTCAGTCCTACATATTTCGTTCTGCTCCCAAGGCTGTAAAAAAACACGGCGCAAGAGCTGCCCCTGTATCACTGCAGGACTGGGGAAGGGGTGGGAGCCAGCCCTGGTGGGCACGTTTGGAGAGAAAAGCTGCCTCTTGTTCAGTGGGTGCAGAGGTGGGCAGAGTGCTTGGAAGTATCCTCAGTACCTTCCCATCCTGCCCTGTTCAGTGCTGCGTGTCAGTGCTGGACCTCAGTCTGCCCGTGAGTTCTGTAGGAATCCTTTCTTGTGCATCATTCCGTGTTTACAGGGTCTCCTACAGCAAAGAACTGCCGGTTACACTGGTCTTACACTGGAGGTTTTCAAGATGCAGCTGGACAGGGAGGGTGCTAGATAATCTTATCTAGGCTGCCTTTCACACGAAAGGTTGGGCCAGATGATCTTCCGAGGTCCCTTCCAACCTGGACTGTTCCAGGATTCTAAGTGTTTTCTGTGGGATGGGACGGGAGGAGGAAACAAACCTCCTCAAAGAGCTGTTACCGCAGATAACACGAACAGCTCCTTGCTGCCTGTTGCCATCTGTGTGAGGATGGAGCTTGTAGTTCTTGGGCCCCGGACTGGCTCCAGAATTGTGGATCTGTTTGCAGAGGATACTGAGACTCAAGGAAAACATCTCAGTTCGGCAGATGAGCTGTGTCCCTGAGGTAGCCAGGGTCCAGTGCTAAGGCCAGCAGGAGTGTCTGCCTGGAGCTGTAGCATGGCATAGGACAGGGCACAGTGCCCTTGGTGGGAGGTTCGAACACACAGCAGGCTTGTGCAGCTTGTGCGGGATCACTGTGTCCTGCTGGGGTTTTATTTTGTATCTTCTACTGTTTGGCTGTTCTAATGGCTTAGATCCTGGAAAAACTTCCTTCGTGTGTTTGACTGTTGGTGAGAGGGCTGGAAACGCACTGTTCCCTGTGCGTGCGCCTTCCGTTTCACCGCAGGTCAAATCAGATGATCGAAAGAACGAGCCAGTGCTGACCACTGCAGGTTCAGCGCCCAAAGCACAGTCTGTGGTGCCTGAGTTAGGTGTTGTCACGAGCAGGCATCAGCAGGTCCTCCCAGTAGCAAAGTGAGAGGGGCCCCTACAGAAGGCAAGAGTGGAGAAAAGACACTACTGGCAGGAAAGGCCAAGAAGCACTGTGGAGAGAACTGGGAGTCAGTGGGCAGCAGAGTGGGAGAAACACAACGCCTGTGCTGGGGGAAGTGGCTCTCCTGCTGCTGTTGGCCATAGCTGGCCTCTGTGAACTTTTGTCGCTGTTCATGCCAAGCAAGAGCTGCTTTGCAGGCAGGGTCAGCCTTCCCAGCTTCACAAAGCAGCTGGCTGGGCTGTGTGTCTTCCCAGACAGAGGAATGCTCCCCCCTTCTGGTCTTCATGCTTTCCAGCCCTCTGCAATGCCCCCCTCTGTGTGTTTGCAATGGGCTCAGTTGACTAACCTTGTTGTTCCTTCTTTCTCTCCTTCCTCCTATCCTTCCTTCCCCCCCACCCTTTTCCCACCCAAATCTCTCTCCTCCACTCCCTTCTCTGCTGGTCTTAGCCGGTCCCAGCGCTGCAGCCTGTTCAGTATTCTCCAAGCTCCTGCCCCCAAGTCCTCTTGCCAGTCTCTCCACCCCAGCAGTACAACTTGGTATAAACCCCATTTCCTCTTCTGCGCTGTCTCTGTTGTATTCATGTGCTGTGTTTGTGTTGTATGAGCTTTTGCTAATCAGGTGTGTCATGGACACTGCACCCAGTGGGTTTGGGATTCATGGAGGCTCTGGCTGCAGTGGGGTCAAGGCAGTGGGATGCCTGAGGCTGTGGGACCCACCAGGGCTGAGCACTGCTGCAGTGGCTGATCTTGGAAAGAGTCTGGGGGAGAGCAAGTGCCAAGCCCAGAGCTCCACCAGGAAGTGATGCTCATGCCTAGCACTGGGGTCCAGGGGCCACAGCTGCCCTGTGGTCTCAGTCAGCCCCTGTGTTGTCTCCACTGGCGCTTTTGGGAATGGCGCACCCCATGGGACATGGCCTCTGGGCTGAGACCACCCCAGCCTGTGCAAGGCCCCGCATGTCACCAGTGTCTGCTGAGAATTTGGGCCCCCCAGCAGCTCGCATGCCCCTACCCCCTGTCCTGCAGAGTGCTCTTGGTCTGTGGCTCGTTTCTGGGGACCTTTCTTGGGTGAGCTCCTCCTCCACACAGAGCAGGGAGAAGGGGTCTGCAGTCTACTCAGCAGAGCTATGTCCTACATGCTGTTGTCCTACATGCTGTCCTCCATCCTTCCCGCTTATCCCCATCGCAGGCCGACGAACTCAGCAACCCCTTTGGGCAGATCAGCCTCAGCCGACAGGGCTCTACAGAAGCACCAGATCCTTCCTCGGCTATGTTCCAGTCATCCCTCATCTCCCAGCATCCTCAACAGACAGGATTCATCATGGCAACCCCTGGGCAGCCCATTCCCACCTCCAACTACTCCGCCTCAGGGCACACGGCCCCCACACAGCAGGTGCTGCAGCCCCAGGGCTACGTTCAGCCTCCCCAGCAAGTAAGGACATGCGCGAGCCTGGAGGGGATGTGCACCTCGCCCAAAGCTGTCGGGCGAGGGGCTGCTGAGGAGCAGTCCAGAGAACAGTTCCTTGAGAGCAGGTCCCTGCTTTTTCTGCTGCTCATTTGTAATGGATCAATACACAGAGGTCCACACTCCAAGCTGGCACGCACCCGTGCTAGACACAGGATGATCTCTGCTCCTGTGTCCCTCTGAGCTCATGAGGCATTTATCTGGGGACCTCGGTAGCCATTCCTGGCTCATAGCATTGGGGGAGGGATAGTGAGCAGGGTCAGGGCTGACACCTCTAAGCTCTCTTTGGGGTCCTGCAGGGCACTATGACCTCTAGGATTGTTCCGCTGAGCTGTGATGAGAGTTGTGCCTACTGTGCTCTTGCACTACTGTGCTGGGAAAGGCTTGGATGTGGAGGCTGGGAGGAGCGGGAAGGGGCTGCGGTTCCCTGAGGTATCATCTCGCCAGAGCCAAAGCCCTGGTTGGTTTCCTTCGGCAGAAGCCATGCCAGTGAGAGAGAAAACTGGTCCTGGGGGACCAGCTTTCTTGATCCCACTCCCTCTTGTGTTCTCATCGCCATGTTTTCTTGTTCTGATAGATTCAGGTTTCTTACTACCCTCCTGGGCAGTACCCGAACTCCAGCCAGCAATACCGATCTCTCAGTCACCCAGTGGCCTACAGCTCCCAGCGCACTCAGCAGCTCCCGCAGCAGTCCCAGCAGCCCGGTAAGGGGGTGTACAAGGCAGGACGGGGCGTCTTTCCCTTTCCTGCTGTTCTTTTTGGCTCTTAAGGACCTTCCACGCACTGCCCGGGGCCAGGCTGTTCTTTCCCGTCTCCCACTCTTTGCTGGGCTTGCCGACTGCAGAGTGCCTCTTGACCGTGCGAAGGGAAGTTGACACTTAGCCTGGCTGCAGAGGCTGTTTTAGTCTTTTCCCTTCCTCTCAGCATGGAGCACGCACTGACGTGCTGCAAGGTGGTTTTAAAGCCAGGAGCTTCCTTCAGGTCTTTTTACATCTGCTGTAAGGGAAGCCCTTTTCCCACTCTTTAGCAAGAGATGAGGGCAAAGCAGGATTTGAGCCCTCGTATGCCAAGTCTCAGACTGTCTCCTGTGGCCAGCTGGGACACTGCTCCATTTAAACCCTGTTCTGACAGGTTTACAGCCAATGATGTCCAACCAGCAGCAAACATACCAAGGTGTGATGGGAGTGCAGCAGGCACAGCCTCCCGGGATCCTCAACAGCCAGAGGAATAGCATGGGGGGCCAGATGCAGAATGTGATGGGAGTGCAGCAGGCGCAGCCCCCTGGTCTTCTCAGCAGCCAGAGGAGCAGTATGGGGAGCCAGATGCAAGGCCTGATGGTCCAGTACACTCCATTGCCTTCATACCAGGTAGGCACCAGTTGCACTGTGATGAGGGGCTGCTGGGGAGAGGGCCTCAGCTCTGCAGGCCTTGCAGGAAGGGCTCTGTTCCTGTGCCTGAGTGATGGAGCCGAAGATGGAGACTTATTTGCCTTGAGAAGATAGTGCATGCTTGGGGAGGGCACGTCCACGTTTGAATCTGTGTGAGTCATGTCTTGAGAAGGAAGACTGAGTGTGACTGGTCCCTTCGCCGTTGTGTTCGCAGAAGAGCTGGGAGGGGCTGCCCTTGCCTGGGCAGGATTGCTCGGGGCTGCAGTAAACTGTCTGGCATCTCTTGGACCTTGTATGGACCTCACTGGTGTCTCTCTGGGGCCTGTCATTCCATAGGGCTACTTCTTTCCTCCCTGCACAGGTTCCTGTGGCCAATGAGTCCCAGAATGTGGTCCAGCAGCCCTTCCAGCAGCCAGTGCTTGTACCAGCCAGTCAGTCTGTTCAGGGGGGGCTTCAGACTGGAGGGGTTCCCATCTACTACAGCGTCATCCCAACTGCCCAGCAGAACGGCACCAGGTAAAGCCTCTATCTCTGGCTGCCTTGGGGGAGAAGGGAGTACTGCTGCCCTACGGAGAGGGCATAGCGTCCTGCTCCTGCAGCTAGAGGTGGTGGCTGGGCACCACAGATGCTGGTCATCTCTTGAACTTGCCCAATCCTAGCTCCCGTGTTCAGCGCTTCCTGGACACAGCTGTCCTGCAGCGTGCAGTACTTCCCGTGCTGCTCCAGAGGCAGCTGTGTTTCCAGCCATCTCGAGTACTTGAGGGAGCTGGTGATGGGTCTGCAGAGATGGGCAGGCTGTTTCTCCCCATCCCCAGCACCTCACCAGAGCGCTCTCTGCTTCACAGCCCTTCGGTGGGGTTCCTTCAGCCGCCTGGCTCTGAACAGTATCAGATGCCACAGTCCCCATCACCCTGCAGCCCGCCACAGATGCAGCAGCAGTATTCAGGTAAGAGGGGCCACCAGTGGGTCCGGGTTGGCACCGGTTCTGCACAGATTGGATCTGATTTGGTAGAGGCTGCAGTGAACAGAGCTGCCAATTCACAGCCAAGTCTGGCAGCATCTGTACAAGTTTCCTTAGTCTTACCCACCCCACTGCCCACTGGGTGTTATCAGGACGTGGCGCAGCGACTTTGCTCCAGGCTTACACTGGCCTGTGCTGGCATCGTGCCATGGTGGGCAGCGCGGGTAGGACCGGTCAGGGGAGCTGCTGTGGCTGCGCACTCCCTCTGCTGACAACACGCTTAGTGTCACCAGGGCAGCCCATGGGACCAGGGAGCGCTGTGGCTGAGAGGAGCACCAGGATTCCTGCATCCTGTCCCGGCTGCAGGGAAGGGAGCTGGGACCGGGTGAATTGGTGCAAGAGCTGGAGCTGGGACACTTGAGCTCTGTGATTAGATCCTTTGTCTGAAGTTTGGCTGTGATGCTCAGACAGGTCACCCCGGTTGTTTTCAACTTGTCACCTCTGCTCACATTTGTCCTGGATTAAAAGTTACTGCTCTCTGGTATCAGATTGGTGCTATCAGAAAGGCATCCCAACCAGGTCTCGGTGGGGCCTTTTCTCAGTCCACCTGGGCAGGCAGGAGTGGCAGAGGAGGGAGTACGGAGGGGAAGTTGTAGAGAAGAGTGTGGAGTTGCACAGACAGGCAGGCTGCCTCGTGTCCCGCAGCGAGCGGCAGCAGTGCGCAGAGCCTGGGCAACGCTGCTGCTGTCGTCTCTCCCCAGGGGTGTCTCCATCAGGCCCTGGCGTGGTCGTGATGCAGCTGAATGTGCCCAATGGCCCCCAGGCCCCCCAGAATCCCCCCGTGGTGCAGTGGAGCCACTGTAAGTACTACAGCCTGGAGCAGCGGGGGCAGAAGCCAGGAGACCTGTACAACCCAGACACCAGTGCTCAGGTATTGAGAGGACTGGGAAGAAGGTAGCTCATCTTTTGGGAGCAGCCTAGTGGGAGAGAGGACCCCAGCAGCAGTGCTGTCTGCATGGGCTGGGAGATGGGGGTGGGTCATCCCATGGTGGTGAGACGAG